ATTTCTCTCCCAGGGTAGCTGTGCAGATTAAGGTATTTCTTTGTAATAATGATCCTGTAACACTTAGTAAGTACTTGATTCCTGTCTGTTTACTGTTATTATTATCATGAATCGACAGATGGTTCCCCAGTCTTTTTTTTTTTTTTCCTTTTTGAGACGGAGTTTCGCTCTTGTGGCCCAGGCTGGAGTGCAGTGGCGCGATCTCAGCTCACCACAACCTCCGCCTCCCGGGTTCTAGCAATTCTCCTGCCTCAGCCTCCCAAGTAGGTGGGATTACAGGCATGTTCCACCATGCCCGGCTAATTTTTTGTATTTTTAGTAGAGACAGGGTTTCTACATGTTGGTCAGCCTGATCTCGAACTCCCGACCTCAGGTGATCCACCTGCCTCGGCCTCCCAAAGTGCTGGGATTACAGGCATGAGCCGCCGCACCCGGCTTCCCATCTTGCTGAACAGGCTTTCTGGGGCCACATGCTGGAAAGAGCATGATGTGAAAAGACCTCAGCTCAAGTTCCAGCTCTGCTTCCTCCCCAAGTGGCAGCTCAAGCAAGCCACTTACCTCAGAGTCGTCTCCTTGGAGCCTCAGTCTCCTCTGAGACTAGAGGAGACTGTCTCTAGACAATTTGGCTAGAACAATTTGTGCCCCTGGGACTGTCGTGGTGCTCCAATGAGCTAGTAAGTGTGAGAATGTTTTTGCACATACCTTCCCTGTACATCTGAGGGACTAAGGAACCAGGTTTTTTAAAGGCCTGGCCAGAGGAAAACGCTGACAGCCAGCCTTTCATGTTCTGTCAGGCCTCTGCATGCTCGGAGCCTCTGTTCTTGAGAACAAAGAAACACAATCCACTCACTGCCAAGCAGCTGTGCTGGGCTGTGCCCCGGGAGGGCTTTCTCCGCTGCTTGGGCAGAATGTGATTGCTCGGTGGTGGCCGGGAAACATCTCCTGGGACCTCCACAGTTCATGATCCTTCCTGAATGCCTTTGACCTCAAGGTCTCAGAGAGGCTTAAATAAATGGAGAACACACCTGGAGACCAGATGGGCTGCCTCAGTGTCTGGCTTTTTGTTTTTATAAATCTTGGTGTCCCGGGACTTAGAAATGAGCTCTGACCTGTAGAATAGTGAGCCCCCAGGGACTACACTTGTTTCGCTGGGCCTGTCACCTCCTGGGGATGAAGGACAGATGGAGGGACTGACTTCTCAGAGGGGGAAGAGGTATTGCCATGCCCCTTCCAGGTCCCTCTCTGGTCTGAAGGTTGTTATTCCTGTTAGCCCTAGCCTCAGGGAGGGAGCCCCAGGAGCCAAGACCCTGTGTTAATGATGCATGCAAGGCCTTGGAGGTGGCTCCAGCCAGGGTGCCAGGCCCTGCCCAGCCTCACCCCTTGGGGTATAGAAGCCTTCTAAGAGTCAGGCCACACCCCCTGCCTAAGAGAGTGGTAGACCCTGCCCCTGGACCAGCCCAGTGAGTGGCAGGCCCTGTACCCATCCTGTCCCCTGGGCTTCAAGCAGCGCAGGTCCACTCGCCAGGGCTGGCATTCAGTGGGTCAGGATTTCCTCCAATCTGCAGGCTCATCTTTGTCTGCTGGTCTCAGACCCACTGAGAGCCCCCTTATCTCCCTCCTGGGATACCCTCCCACTCATCAGTAGCACCACAAGTGGCCCACCTTGCCCTACATAAGCTACAAGTCTGAGGCTGAGCCCTCATGCCTGCTCGAGGGTATGCCCACCCCTCACCAGTCCTTCTGCCCTGAGCCTTGGTTGCTGCCTGTAGCTGTTCACAAATCACCCGGGCGCCTTAGATATTATGCCTGGATTCCCCCAGCACTCTGAACTGCTGCTCTTCATGCCTGGGCACGGTGCATCGCTCTTCTGCCCCTCCGCCACCACACCTGAGTGGAATCCACACCACTGTCATAGGGGTGGCCCACCTATGTCTGATTACATTCCTCTTCTCGCCCTAGCTCTTCCCCCTACCACACACTCCTCCTACAGCTCCTTCCCACTCCCACTTCCCAACCCCACTGTGGGAATTCCCCACATTCCACCGGGCAGGGGCCCCCTGGTTTTGACAAGCTGCCTGTGGCCAGTCAGACCACAGGATGAAATATCAGTGTCCGTCTTCTCTTGGCTCCCCGTCTTCTATGTCCCTGGACAGAGGATTGTGTTTCCATTGACCCCTCTATTCACAGGGCTAATTACTTCCATATAGCCCTCTAAGTCCAAAGGACAGAAACAAAGAGGGTAAAATGCAAAACTAAACTTACTCCTGGCAAAGACCATGGAAGGAACTTGATACAGGTCAGCGGTCCAGTGGGTATATGAACAGAGGCACAGTTCAGGGACTGGATGTGGCTCCCTGTTGGAGACAGTCCCCATCATTGAGGCATCTTATTTCTGTGCGTGAATACAGCCAACAGAGGCAACTGAAGTAGGGGCAATGCTCCCGCCAAGCATAACCACGTCCCCACTTTGCCAGATAAGAAAAGAGCCAGAGAGCTGGATGTCCAAGACCCCCAAGGAACGGAGGCAACATTCCTTCTTCCCACTTTTCCTCACCTCTGTCTTGCTCTTGCCTGGAAACGGTCACTCAGGCTAAGGAAAGCCAATCCCAGGTTCCTCCTTCTCCTCTGGCTGGTTATCAACGCCCTCAGGGAGCAGAGAGTAAACAGAGGTCTTAATAAGAGTTCATGAAATTTTTAGAGTCAGACCTGCTAAGCCGGTGTGGCCAGCCCAGAACCAGGTGATGCAGCCCATGCCACCTGCCCAACACAAACACAGCCAGTTTAATTTGGTGAGTCTTTCCGGAAACCTGCCACATGCCAGGCCCTGGGCTGGGCTCTGGACATACAAGGGAGAGCCCAGTTAGATAGTACACAGTCCTTTGGTGCAATTGGGGAAATGGGGCAAAATGTGATCACAGAAGATAATACCGCATGCCAGTAGCAGGGCACAAATAAAGCTAAAGAATTTCAGGCCACGTACGGTGGCTCACACCTATAATCCCAGCACTGTGAGAGGCTGAGGCAGCAGGATCACTTGAGGCCAGGAGTTCGAGACCAGCCTGGCCAACGTAGCGAAACCTCATCTCTATGAAAAATTTAAAAATTAGCTCTGCATAGTGATGCATGCCTATAGTCTCAGCTACTCAAGAGGCTGAGGCAGGAGGATCACTTAAGCCTAGGAGTTGGAGGCTCCAATGAGCTATGATGATACTACTGCACTCCAGCATGGGTGACAGAGTGAGACCCTGTCTTCTATTTTTTTAAAAAAGAAGAAGCCAGCACGGTGGCTCATACCTATAATCCCAGCACTTTGGGAGGCCGAAGTGGGCAGATCACCTGAGGTCAGGAGTTCAAGACCAGCCTGGCCAACATGGCGAAACCCTATCTCTACTAAAAATACAAAAAATTAGCCAGGCATGGTGGCGGATGCCTATAATCCTAGCTACTCAGGAGACTGAGGCATGAGAATCACTTGAACCTGGGAGGTGAAGGTTGCAGTGAGCCAAGATCACGCCACTGCATTCCAGCCTGGGGGATAGAGCAAGACTCTGTCTCCAAAATAAATAAATAAATAAATAAGACAAAGAAGGAGAAAAAGGAATTTCAGAGGACAGAATGAGCACATCTGCTGGGCGACCAGGAAGGCTTCCCACAGGTTGGGCCTTTTGAATTGAGCCTCTGGGGATGGTTACAACAAGCAGAGAGGAGGAGGTGGAGGGAACCATGTGAGCAGAAGCTTCGGACCTGAGTCGGGTAGGGGCAGAAGTGAGAGGCTGGCTGGGAGAAAGGACTGGAGCTAGACTGCAGACGGCCTTGGTTAGTCCTGGCTCTGCCAATATTTGCAGGATGATCTAAGTTTGTCATGTCTCCCCTCTGGGTCTCCGTTTCCTCATCTGTCAAATGGAAGAGGTGGCCTAGAATTCATGGTTTTCAATCTTTTCAGACCCATTGTCTACTTTTCCTAACAAATCATTTGTAATATCTCAAAGATAATATAACCTTTTTACAATTTCAAGTGTAACCTTTTCACAGTTTCAAGTGTTGTGTGTGTATATGTACATATATACATACTCTGACTATTAATATAAAGGAAAATAGAAGGAAATTATTAGTAATCAAATATTTTGTATGTCAACATGTAGATGCTCACCCACAATCACACTAGAAAACATAGCAAAGTAGCCAGGTCCTCTCGTCATAGGTAAAACACCATCCTGCCTCAAATGCCTATACAGGTAGGTTGTCTCGGTCAGTGGTGGTGTCCTTAGGGATGTATTTTCCAACAAAACAAACATTTTTTAGGGAAGTTCCAAACAAAACAGATGCAGCCTTCCCTTCATTTACACGGTGGTTGCATTCTGAAATATTCAGTGTATATTAAAACTGCAAAAAATTATTTTATGTTTATACATGAAATGGAATTAGGTTATAGTTTCTGATCCTTATAAAAAAGATTTTTCATCCACATGAATGTCTGCTGGGACATGTGGAAATCACTGGGAGTCAGGGAAGGTGTGGGGCAGAAATTCCCTTTGCAGAACTGTCCTGTCCATTTCATGGTCTTTAGCATCCCTGGATCCCAGCTGTCGTTAAGACACACTCACAAATTTCCCCATTCCCCCTACGGGGGCAGTAGCAACTGGATCATCTGGAAGCTCCCTCCCAGCTCCAAAATTCCCCAATTCTAGGCCTCATTCTGGTTAATTCAACAAACATTTGCCAGTGCCTACTATGTGCTTCGCCCTGGGCATCCGGCAGTGAACAAGCAGCTGTAGCCCCTGCTCCCCTGCAGATAATATCTGGAAGGACCTTAACTACCACCCTTCCATTTTACAGGGGAGGAAGATGAGGCCCAGAGAGGGCACACTTGTATTTGAGGTCACACAGCAGGTCAGAGGCCTCCTACGTACCAACCAGAACTCTGCCCTCAGGAAGGCACTGCATGGTAGGTCCACAGCCTTCTCCCCACTCATCTTCTCTCCCTCCTCCACCCCCCACAGTGCCAGCCGCCCTAACCCTGGACCCAGGCACAGCCCACCAGCGCCTGATCCTGTCGGACGACTGCACCATTGTGGCTTACGGCAACCTGCACCCACAGCCGCTGCAGGACTCACCAAAGCGCTTCGATGTGGAGGTGTCGGTGCTGGGTTCTGAAGCCTTCAGTAGTGGCGTCCACTACTGGGAGGTGGTGGTGGCAGAGAAGACCCAGTGGGTGATCGGGCTGGCGCACGAAGCTGCAAGCCGCAAGGGCAGCATCCAGATCCAGCCCAGCCGAGGCTTCTACTGCATCGTGATGCACGATGGCAACCAGTACAGCGCCTGCACGGAGCCCTGGACGCGGCTCAACGTCCGGGACAAGCTTGACAAGGTGGGCGTCTTCCTGGACTACGATCAAGGCTTGCTCATCTTCTACAATGCTGATGACATGTCCTGGCTCTACACCTTCCGCGAGAAGTTCCCTGGCAAGCTCTGCTCTTACTTCAGCCCTGGCCAGAGCCACGCCAATGGCAAGAACGTTCAGCCGCTGCGGATCAACACCGTCCGCATCTAGTCCAGGCCGAAGCAGACCACAGCCTCCTAGGGCCACTGCCACCTGCAAGAGCCCTGCCCAGGAGATAGAAGACCTGGACTACGGCCCACAGTGGCCACTGGAGACCTCAGGCCAGTTGTTTACCCTCCAGTCTCCATGTCCCTGTCTGTAAAATGGAGGTTGCATTCCCTACTTCCTAAACTCTCTTCCAGCATCGATGTTCTGTAGCTCTGACCTTGATGGGGATACAGCTTTGATCCAAGGATGTGACATGGCTTCTCCTCAGGGCAACCCCTGCCCAACCCTCAGCCCCATCCTCTCAGGGGCAGGGGACTACCTTCCAGTGTCTCCCTCCTGCCCAGCCCTGGCCTCAGGAAGTGTCAGAGCATGGCCAGTAGTTGGCAGCCCGAAAGACACACAGCACCCTCTTATGTCCCATGGCCTAAGACTTGCCCCTGACCAAGCTAGTGATGGGCCATTTACCCTTGACCCCAGTCCACAGTGGACACAGGTAGTGTCCTAGGGTTGCCTGAGAACCAACCTCTCCTGCCACCCCCACACCAAGAACTATATGGTTCCTACTTTTCCCACCGATCTGCTGGTCAATGATGATGCTGTGGGCTGTGGAAGGCACCTGGTAGTTAAGTCCACACATTACAGTCATGTGCCACCACCTTCCTGCGCACAGGCCCAAGGTCAGGGTGAGAGTATACCCAAAGCTGATGCAGAGCCCATTAGCCTAAAAGCAACTGCAGGACAAGCCTCCCTGGATGATCGAGGTCCCCAGCAGCTCTGAACAAGAGTCCAGCCAACCCTCTTCAGCCAAGCCTCTGTGACCTGCTAGGGTGCAGGAGGCTTCAGAAGCTGTTGTTGTAATTAGGACCCAAGCACTGGGAGGGGCTGTTGGCTGGGACCTCTCGTCAGACTTGGCATCTATCTCAGTTAGGATCCTGCTGCAGAAAACAAGAGCCACTTGTAGCTGGTTTAATTAGACAAGGATTTATTACCTGGCCCCTGGTGGCTTGCAACATTGTTGGAAGAGCTGGAGAAGCAGACTCTGCTGAATTTCCAGGAACGACTCCCAGCGCCAGATTCATCATGTCTGTTGTGACCAGGAAAGCTGACCCCATCCGCAGGAAGCCACCGCGCCAAAAGCTGCTGACTGCAGAACTAGGCTCCCTCTGCCACGGTCCATGCCAGCCAATGGATGTCCTGAGGCCTGCCCCTCTCCCACTTCACTCAGTTCCCAAATCTAAATTTTTACAAGAGATTCTGTTTGGGGGAACTTAAGTCAGATCTAGAACCTTGGCTGCAAGGGAGTCTGGGAAATGTCGTTTTCCTATTTCCAACTTCAGTCATACAAAAAGGCTCAGTAGAAGGAAGTTTGGGTGGGCTGAGCAAGCCCCACCTGTGTTTTTTTGCCACAGCATCCAATTGTGAAGAACTCGGGAGAGGGTGGAGTCCACATCTAGGGTTGTCCTGCCCCTTGGTTCTGTCCCTGCCCAGAGGTGGGAACTGGAGGAGTGGGCTGCAAGACTCAGCCTAAAACTCCCCGGCCTTGACTTTTCTTTCTAGTTCTGGGGCCTCGATTCTGCACTTGGGGTCTCTGAACACACCATCCCAAGGTAGCCAGAAGAGCTAAACATAGGGGGTTCTTACAATGGCAGCCCCCCACCTGCCGGGGCCTCCCTTGGGCAAGAGGAATTGTCAGCCCTACCACACCCCTTCACCTACCAGAATCTGGGCCACCCCAGAAGTATTTTTATTTAAAATGTTGCCCGTTTTATGAGTTATGATCAATTTGTATTAAAGTTACAGATGTCAGTAGCCAGTTCCACTCATTCTGACAAACACACAGGCCCACCCAGCTCTGTCCCAGGCAGTGCACACACACGAGCAGAGCTAATCCACAAAGCAGCCCGGCTGGGTAAATGGTATTATGCTCATTTTACAGAGGAGGAAAAATGGTGTTCAGAGAGAAGCCATGACTTACCTGGAGTCCCATATCCCATGCTGGCAAGTGCCACACCACAAACCTGTCCAAAAACTTACCAGCCAGGGAGGGCTGTCAGTCCTTACCTGGAGGAGAGGTGGTGGTAGTCTTGGGAGCAGGCAGTGGGCAGCTCATGGGGCAGTGGCAAGAGCCTGGTCTCGGGAACCACACAGACCTCAGCTCAAGTCCAGGCTCCATCACTGTGTGACTTTAGAAAAAGGACCACCCTCTCTGGGACTGTTTTCCCACATGGAAGATGAGGATAATAACACCGATTTCACATGATTTACTGGTAAGCTATAAAGTGCAGTGCACTTAAGGAGGCCCTACCCTATGCCCCCAGCTGCCTCCCAGAGTCAGTGGCTGGAGCTGTGTGGGTTTCCTGAACCTCTGGACTGGCTCTGACCTAAGTAGTCTTTCTCCTTATGGTCTATGACGGGTAGGGGACCGCCTAGGCCAGGACAGTCCTAAGGTCTATCCTACCTGTGACTGATGGGGAAGCATCCTGGCTGGGAGTTAGGACAGGCTCTGCCTGTGGACACATGGGCTGTGCACACTTAAGTGGAAAAGACTGTCGACTAAAGAAGAAATATCAAGCTTTTAAAGAATTCAGGTTCACTTTACTTAGAAGTCTTACTGAGTACTATAGATAGGCCTAGAGCCCAGCAGCGGCCCTTTAGAGAGGTTCTATCAGTCAGCCTCAGGACAGTATTTTAGCCCACTGCTTATATACAGGTGGTAGAGGTTTAGTACATGCAAAATCACATCTCGTTTGCTCAGAAGTAACATTAAAGCAGAGTCACATCAACGTTTGCATGTAAGAGTGTGTCTGGGCTATAGATTACAGAGGCATAATCATGAAAACCATCAGACGCTATCTTCTGTACAGGAAAAGGCAAGGACTAGGTTCAATTATCTTTTAAGGAATATAGTGACTCAGGCAAGAGACGTGGGGCGCCTTGTTTTCTATTCTGTCTTGTCTCCAAAGCATCCCTCCAGAGAGCCGCACATGGTCACAGAGTCAGAGGCTTGTGAAATTATGCTGGCAAGCAGAAATGAGGGAAGCAGCTTCTTCCATTTGCTGCTGTGTCTCCCAGGCCACTGGGCGCTCTCTGCAGTGTGCAGGGAGCCCGGCACCCCTGGGAGCCCTGGACTGGTGTTGGCTTTCTGTTATTTACACCCTAAGACATCCTCGGCTTCCTCACCTGCAGAATGAGGGAGGTTAGACTGCAGACCACAGGTGAATCTTCATCTACAGCCTGGAGCTGGGGCGAGGGGAGAGGGAACCACCTCAGTCATTGACTTGCCTGGGTTTCTAGGAAGAGGGATGAGAACAAGGATGGGGGAGGGGCTGTTGGCATGGGTGGGTGGAGGGGTCTCTGACTGGCTGATGGAGAGCAGCCCAGTTGACAGGGAAGTGACTGGGGTGATTCTGAAACTAGAGTATCCCAAGCCCTCCCCCATCCTCTCAGATCCCTGTGACTGCCCTCAAACCATGCCCTCTCATTTTGGCTCAGTGGATCTGTCTTTGCTCAGCCTTCTCCCTCTGGGGTCGGAGCACCCGCTCCATGGCGCATTCCACCTTCCCCCCACTCAGCCTCAGCAGCAGCTCCAAGAAATGCTGGCCACTTACCAGGCTTTACTCACAGTTTCCAAGTGTCTGGAAGTAACTCTAGAGGCCTAATTTACATCAGCTGGGGACTCCTGGAAATGAGGGTGTCTCCAAGAGATATATTTGATACACATCCAGAGAATTCCTGAATGAAAGAATCTGGGGTTGTCAGGCTGATATCATGAACCCCACATTTAACACATTAAGAGAGGGGACCAAGGCCAGGCTTGGGAAGGAAGGAGGGATCAACAAAGGCCTTACCCAGGACAGATAAAAACGGTAGAATGGCAGTAACCCCATTCAGAGTCCCCATTTGTAGTCAGCAAGCAAAGTACTGGTACCTTTCACACCTTATCCAACCATCGAGACATGCCCCTGAGGCTGGTATCATTATCTCAGTGTTTGAGCAGGGAAACATCACTTCCCAGAGGACCCACAGCCAGTACTCAGCAGAGCTGGAAATCAGACCAGGTCCATCCAAAGTTAAAGCCAGAAGTCCCTTTACTGGACCTCTCTGGAAATGTTTCTCAACTCTGACGATGGCTTCAGTGACGGGCAGCAGCCACCAGGACTGTGATCCCCCTGGGATTTAAAGTGGGAGGTTAAACCAGGCTCCACGCCACCGTGGAATTGTGCAATTGTAAGTCAAGTCTCAATTGTAAGCCAAGCTTCATGTGTCTCCCAGGGTCAGAAGTGGAGTTAGAAAGGCTCCATGGGACCCTGAGCAAGTCTCTCTCCTTCCCTGGACCTCAGTTTCCCCATCTGTATTGGGGAAGGGTTAGGTATCTATTCTAGTTGATTAATTAATTGCCAGGGCCTGAGCTCTGATGGTCCAGGATTCTGTAAGTCTCATGTGAGGTCCCACGGCTTGCACTGCTCAGCATCTAACAAGGCCATTAGCTCTGGCTCCTTCTCTCTGGGGTGGCAGCAGGAACAGAAAATAACAGAGATAAGTTCTCTTGGCAGCACAGAACTTGGCTCAGGGGCTCTGGGGATGGGGCCTTCCCTCCTGCCAGGGAGGCCATCTCGAGAGGCTGACTGCTGACACCTGGGCAGCACTCTCTGTCTCCTCCCCTCCTGCCTGGGTCCCAGCTCTGTTCACCACCCCCAAGCACAGCACCACAAGGTCAACTGCAAAGGTCCCGTATCACAGGCTTAATTACAGAGGGCTAGGAGGGAGGTGGGAGGTGGGAGAGGAAGGTAGAGTACTAACCAAGGTGCTGAATTATCACTGCCCATCAGGACACGGTTATTTCCCCTTACTCTGGGACACCGAAGATTCTACACAATCTTCCTGTAATCCTGAACCACAAAAGGGAGGCACAGCCTCCAAAAAAAGTAGGAGAGGGGAGGAGGGGGAAGTACTTTTATTTTGAAATGTGTTCATTTTCCTTTGTTTTTATTTTATATCTTAATGAAAAGAATGTATTTTTAACGCTAAATTCAAAATAGCAGTTTTCTCTTTTTTTAAGTTCCAGGATACATGTGCAGGACGTGCAGGTTTGTTACATAGGCAAATCTGTGCTATGGTGGTTTGCTGCACCTATCAACCTATCAGAACAAACAGTTTTCTATCTGCTTCCAAAATTTCCACAGTTCTATCATATTTCTATTACAAAATGCTCCCTCCCGCTTGAAATTAGATGAAGTGGGGGAAGGGTTGACACTGCGGACCAGAGACCCAGGGACTTCCTACCCTGATGTCATGACAAGGGCTGGGGAAGGGCTTTCAGGAAGCTGGCATCAGAGGCACAAAACCTCAGGTCCTGGTGAGCTTCCCAAAACTGTGGGACTAGATGTGATCAAATCTGAATGCTGGAAGGGTCTGAGTGATCCTCCAGTCCAACCTGAAGCCCAGAGGTGGTTAGTTTCTAGCTCCATATCACACAGCATACGGCAGAGCTGAGATCAGAACTCAGGTGTCCTGGTTCCCAGTCAGCACACAGGGGAGGGAGATTAACCAGCTGAGAGGGCCCGAGCCCAGGCAAAGAAAAGGAACACAGGCCAGGCTGGAAGGGGCAGGGCCAGGGCTTAGGAGGGAGGTGCTCAGAGATGAAGGGCCCCACATCTAAGAAAGTCTGTGGGGGTACAAGAGTGCCTATCAGAATTGGGGACTGCAGCTCCTCCAAGAGGAGAAGGAGGGAGCAAAAGGGTGATCGAATCAGGAAGTCCTCCCTGGGGTGAGCATGCCAGTCAGTATCACGGGCCCCAGCATGGCTGAGGAGAGACCCCTTATCTCAACCCTGCCATGTACAGAGAAGAAAACTGGGACATACATGCAAAGCCTGCAGGGCACAGTCAGGGCCAGATCCAGGTCTCCTGACTCCCAGCCATCAACTCTTTTCATGCAAACTTCAGTCTCCCTCTTGGCCAGATCCAGGTCTCCTGACTCCCAGCCATCAACTCTTTTCATGCAAACTTCAGTCTCCCTCTTGTGGGTTCTGGTGCCTCCTCCTACCCCCTGGGAACCTGGAACCTGAGCAGAAGGAGAAGGAGAGAGGAGGGTTCCAACAACCCCAGGCACCAGGAGGCATAATCATGAAAACCATCAGACGCTATCTTCTGTACAGGAAAAGGCAAGGACTAGGTTCAATTATCTTTTAAGGAATATAGTGACTCAGGCAAGAGACGTAGGGCGCCATGCCCACTACTCTGTCTTGTCTCCAAAGCATCCCTCCAGAGAGCCGCACATGGTCACAGAGTCAGAGGCTTGTGAAATTATGCTGGCAAG